GTGGGATTCAAATATGTGAACAACCGGTTCTCTCTGTGGATGCTACTTCCAGAACTCCGTTCTGGCCCTGGGCAACAAAAAATTAGCTACCGGTTCTGCCAAAGTTGTGCAAACCAGCTGAATCACACCACTGAGCCTGAAGCACGAAAGAAAACTGATTACAAGATTGGATATGTACCTCAATAAAAACAGACCCTTCCAGAAAGCAAAAAACCCTAATATGTGATTAAGGCAGTCTATGTGAGATGTTGGTGCAGAATTCACTTCAGCTTTAGGACAGAAGGAAAACAGATTTATTTTCCTTTTAACTTGAAATATTTTTAAACCTAAAAAAGCCAGGGCAGTTAGACCATATAAAGGCAAACACACACTCAGTTGACCCATTTGTTTGGCTGGTGTGGAAAAATGACTGTTTCTCTATTATGAATAGTGGCGGCAACTGATACTAACTTAAGTCCAACAATTTTCAGGGTTGTGAGACTGGTTTGAAAACACTCCACATTTTCCATTCTAGGATCTAGTTTTGGAAAAGGAGATCAGGAAAGCTGGCTATGCACAGCATTGGATGGATGCTCTCCACAGCTGTAATTTGTTTGAATTTGACTTGTTTAAAATTAGTCTTAACCTTTAAATTTCATCCTCTCCAGATGCCTGGACTTCAACTCCTAGAATTTCCCAATCAGGATGGTAATTGTGGAGAATTAGGGAAGCTGAAATCTATACAACTGGGGGGAGGGTTTCCAGCTATGGTACCGCACTGCCTCAGGAGTTCTGGGAGTTGAAATCCACAAGTCATAAGAGGAGCCATAGTTTCCCACCTCTGCTCTAGGAGCAGCTGTGCTTTTGAGGTTCGGACCAAACAGGAAAACGAGGGGCGGAGCTAGAGCGTCCTTGAGCCTGTTCCTCCGATGCTGCTCTAGCCTCCCCATCACTGTTTCCGGCATCTTGGTGGCCTGTTCTGCAGGTGAAAGTCACTTTGAGGAAGCTACTGCTTCAACAGGCTCATTGCGATGAGAAGCCGGGACTTGCTCACAGCCGCCCGGAGAGAGGAGCCGGGCCTTCTTCTGTCCTTGGAGGGGGATCCCCCACAGTCCCAACCCTTGGGAAGAGCGCAGGAAGGCCCATTGCTAAAGGCACCTCCACCCCGAAGGGGAGATATGCCCATCTGGGTCTTTGGGTAGCAGTCTGTGTCCTCCTGGCCATTGGCATGTCAGTTTTGGGGATGGGTAAAGATGGAAAAGCGTGGGGCATTCTGCTGTAAGGTCCCCAGTAGTGATTTTGTTTGCTTTATAAAGTTTGTTAGCCAATGAAAATCAGACAACAGAGCCAAAAAGCAAGAAACCAACAGACTAAACAATGTCTCTTTGTTCCAGAAACCTTCACATCCTTATGTAACTTGGCTCTATATCGTGCAGACTGAACAGTGGTGGGATTCAAATATGTGAACAACCGGTTCTCTCTGTGGATGCCACTAATGGAAGTCCATTCTGGGCCTGGGCAACAAAAAATTAGCTACCGGTTCTGCAGAACTGGTGCGAACTGGCTGAATCCCACCACTGTATTTGGATGTGTTGGAGGGCAAAATCGTGGATACAGGCAGGTTCTTTTTTTTATTTTGGAGATCCAGGTGTTGGACAATACACAGTCTTTTAGATTCTTCAGGCTTATACACAGTTCTGTTTTAAGAGCTCTTCTGGATCCTAGATTAGATGCATTTTCAATTTTTTTTTCCTGGTAGATTTCCATCATTGTAAGAAAACGATGAATGCCAAAGACTCTGATCCGTATGTCTGTCAGTGGTATAAAAAAGTATACTCATCCCTGTGCCCTTCTTTTTGGGTAAGTAAATTACGTACGGTAAGTCTGGCTAAAGCGTTTTTGTACAAGAAACCAGTTGGGGACAAATGAAGACACTCAATAAAAGATCTCTCCCTTTTCAGTGGGTCAGCCATGAAGGGTCAGACCAAAATACTTTGGAGTAAAGCACTAGAATCCCTGGTATATCAATCATGGGTGTTGCAGTTCCAGTCCATCTGGGAAACAATTGATTACCAAATCCACACAGTCAAAAAACTCCATTCAGAATTGTATTCAAAATATTTCTTGTCCCTCTCTTTCAGGACATACTTGAGAAGCATAATTGTATGGAAGAGTTACAGTTCTAACGGCATCACTCTTATTGAGAAATGGTGATCAAAGGAATGTCCTGTTCTTTTGCAGGTTGACAACTGGGATGAACTTAGGGAAAATGGCTGTTTTCCAGGCAAAATCTGATGGTCTTTTGTCTGCCAGTAGCTCCCCCTACTCAGGATGTTGCACTGCTGACTCCTTTCTATGTGTACATCTGAAGGATTGTCTGAAATGGCTCTTGTCTGCTTAAGCATCTGAATCATTCAATAGTACAAAATCTTGGATATTACCCATTCTAATAAAATGCATAATACCCATACCTCTGTTTATCCTACTAACTCCATTAATGATTCAGGAATATCTTCTACCACATGCTTTATCTATGGTAATGTTCTCAAAGAATGGGACAGATGTCATTACTATGGTATATCTGGTGCTTTCTCACTGGACCCCTTTTAACAAGAAAGAAGCCTTTCCATTCATTGCGTGAAATAGCATATATTTACATGGGAAACTTTATAGCTGCTTGTATGGGTGATAACAGAAATTATTACACCAGGGTCAGCCATTTCACACCTGCTCATTTCTTAGTTGCTAATCCCATGTTCTGGGCTAAGCAAGTACCACGTGAAAAATTTACGTGGATAGATGGTCTTGATTTCAACATATTTGAATATCCTCATATGTTGCCTCCTCTTATCATAGGCAGCCAGTGAACACATAAAGATCTGATCTTGAAAAGGGTATCAGATATCACACG